GCTACTTAAACTGCCATTATTATTATGTTCGAAAGCACTATTTGGTCGATACATAGTCTCTACGTAGAAATGGTTTTGATTATTGTAACGAAATGAATCTAATTCATCTAAGTCTAAAGGACACAATATGGGTGAGAGACGTGAACAAGCTGATGCTGATGAAGTGCGTGAATTTGGTTCCTCACTGGTAAGATCAAGACTTGAGCCAGTGATGTGACATTCTAAATGAGAACCACGTTCAAAACTTAATGAAAAGGAGTCAGTCGAGGAACTGCGTAAATCATCTTGACTGTTAAAAATTGCATCATGCGGATGATGATGCATAAAATGTTTGCCCAAACGTTTGCCAATGCAATGCAAGAAGCTACGTGAACGCGAATTGGACAGTTTATGATCGCGCTGCGATTTTTTGTTAGATTTTTTATCCATACATGGTGAAGCTGAAGAACTGTTGCTGCTGCTTGTATCCGTTGAAGATATTTTTGGAGTAAGAGTATCCATTTTATTTTATTTTTGGTTAAAAAATTTAAAAATAATTTTTAATATTTCTTTTTAACACTTTTAGTTAAAGTTCTTAGTCTTTGTTTTAATATATATAATTTTTCACTTTATTTATTTAATTATATTTTTTTTCTATTTTAGCACATAGAATCAGTTAATCAAATGATAATATACACTTGTATAAATTTTTTTATAATCCGAGACTACAAATCTGTTAGTATCGAACTGTTAGCAAGACCGTTTTAGTCTGTTTGAATCCTTTGACATGCAACAGCTTTTATAGTCTGCCCCAATGCCATTTTGCATGTTAAAGTTTATTCGTATCCTTCGTTATTCAATTTTCACTGCCCTTCAGTGTTTTGAATCGTTGCATCTTGACTTGCGACTACTACTGCGCAGACTCGTCTTCTTTCGTTTGTGAAAATCGAGCTTTAAAGCTCAAAATTTTACAACAGTATCACGTTGACTGTGATTCTATCAAGATAAGCAGTCCTGCAGTTTATGTCCTTAAAGCAGACAACGTGATTTTTGACATTCATAAACTGCATAGCTTTGATTTTCACTTACTGGCAATTTCAAAAAGAACCAAAAGTAATTCAGTTCCAAGGGGTGTGTAACCAATTCTTATATACACTGATTGCATTTTTAGCTACCATGTAATTATTAGTTTATTTCCTGCTGCAAACACTGGTAGTAACTTCTAGACACACACAAAACGTTCGCTGACACTTGTTGATAGTTGAGCTTCCACACTTTAAGAATCCTTATGACTCAGTGACCATTCCTGATTTCTCACACGTTTTGATATTGTGTTGTGGCGGTGCGTTCAAACACATAATTGTGAAGTAAGTGTATTGCAAGTAAAGTGAATTTCTATTTAAGATATCATGGAATCCTTCACAACGTGACTTTGCTTTGGGGCTTGCTTGATGTTTTCTACTCAGTAAATATTTCACTTCATTTAAAGGTGAACGTGATTTTCATGCGTCAGTGCATTTCCGTACTAAACTTTTGACAGCCTCTTCATTTGTACAGTTGTGAGTTCGAATCAAGCTCTTACACAATTGGATTTGATGTATAGAAAGTGTTTGGATTTTAAATCCTTTACACCTTTTTGCCTGTGTGAATTTCGAAGCGTTACGACATTTCAACTTTTCACGTGAGTGCAC